CACGACCTTATTATTATTCACCGTGACAGCGTTCTCGCGAGCCGGACAAAAGAATCCGACGATGGTGACTGATCAGATAATATGCACGTTGATGGCTACTAATATCGATAATAGATACTGCGATAATAGGACGAGAGGGAAAAAGGGGGGCAGAGAGAGAGAGAGAGAGAGAGAAGACGGCCGAGTTAGAGCGACGAGGAATATCATCGATCTATTCCGCGTAGATAGCTTCCTTCTATCAACAGAAGGCACTTAATGGCACAACATTAGACTCTTTTGAAGATGATAAATATTCATCCTCGACACTCGCGATCTCGCGATAGAAAGTATATAAACGCTCGTTGACTCCGCCGCGTTCGTTACGACTTCATTATTCAGCAAGGAGAGGGACACGGCGAGAAGTGTATATACGATACACTCGGGACCGACTCGCTTTTCCACGTAGAAACAAATGACGGCGGTCTCGTCACAGTCACACACACACACACACACACATCACTTCGTTTCATTCGACTTCATTTCGCCGGATCCTTAGCGAGTCCGCGGATTCATGCGCGATCGCGCGACTCTTGTCACGCGTCCGTGGCGTCGACATTGTCTTTGTTTGCCTCTACCGAGTCGTCATGGTCTTGTGACATCTTTGTTCTTGCACAGTGCCGCGCGCGATAGCGAAACACCTGGCGTGCTCTCGAAGGAAACGTAGCGGCGATAGATGGTGGTGGCAGGGTCCTCGGGATTTTATCTCGTCACTCACACACGGGATCTTTGCGGAGGCGAGTTCGATTCTTCCCGGGGAAATATAAAAGCTGTTCTTTTCAGCTCAACTGAGAGACAGACCCGCTTCTTCCTTCCTGCCTCCCTCCCTGCCTCCCTCGACGCTGCGTCGCGGCATGCACTTGTTCCGCTCTAAAGGCGAGAAGTGCAATCCAGTTCAGCTAACGAGAACAGACCTATACACGCAGGCACAATTTTTCCGCGAGATATTTAGGCCTGTTCTCTCCAGACTGGTGCTGGAGACTGGTGCTGCCGCGCTGGAACTTGCCCCTACATCGTATACCCCTCGACGCTGCGTCATACACTTGCTTCACTCTAGAGACGAAAAGCGCGAGAGCTGGTTCTGCTGAAAAGAACGAACTCATTGACACTGACTCATTCGTGCACTACGAAAGAGCCACAGCAGCTTGTCCGTCTAAGGTGTGCTCATATTTACTCGAAACTCGTATGCTCGTATTATTATATTTGAGGATGATGAGGGCAACTATTTTGCATATGGTACAAATGTCCACGCGATACGGTTCAGAGGACGTCCGAGCAAGCTATTATCGATTAATCGACCACGCGATGCAGCACGGTATGTTAATCGATGAACTGTTCTCTCTCCGTCTTGAATCTTCTAACTGAAAGGTTCGAGCAATTGCTGGACTCTCGTCGCTTGCCATCTTCCTTCGAGAAATATTTTCCTTCCATCAACGTAAGGAAAGCAGAGTCGGAGTCGCGGTGCGGCGCGAGTACTTTCGCGAGTCTTCTTCCCCCCGAGCCTTGTACTCGGCGCGTCAGATTCAGAATCGTCCGTCCGTCTCCTCCGCGTCCGCGTGAATCAGATGTAATTTGCGGAGCGGCCGGCCAATCACGCCCGGATAATCAGGTCCGCGCTCGGCGCGCGCGGCTTTCACTCGTCGTCCGCGGTTCGCGGCAAAATCGCGGTGCGCGCGCGAATGAATTATTTAGTCGCGACGAGCGACACGTCACGCCGACGTACAAATGCCCGGCGCCCTCATGTTTTATTCAGCGGTTGCCGTTGCGCGCATTACGCGGTATGAAGCGAGCTAGACGCTCAGGGATTGACATTCTCGCGGGCGCGCGGGGCTGCGTGCTTGCGCGAGCTGGATTATATTCGGCTGTGCACAATGGCGCGCACATCGGCCATCGCCATCGCCATCGGCGGCGCGCGGCGCGGCGGAGAGTCTCGCGAGGATGAAAAATAGATCGACCTCGTCAATAATCCCGCTCGCGCTCGCGCTATATACACCTCTTTGTCGAACGCCTTTGTACGGCCCGATGTTGTATCAGCGCGTTCGCTTTTTAGCAGAATCGCTTGTCGAAACGCGAAGCATTTACGAGGACGCTCAGATCAGCGCGCGACGCGGGAAGATTCATGAGGCGGGCTCGCGTTCCTCCACCGCCGGCGCTACATTCTTCAACCCGGCTCTGTGGCCGAATTTTCTTGCGGTGCGCGCACCACAGCTATTGTTATTTCCACGCTCGATCGTCTTTCATGTCCTCCCGATCGATCCCGGAGAGAATCACCTGACGAGCGCTCTTAGAAACGAACGCGACGCGGAGAGAGAGATTCATGGCGCCGAGCGCGCGCGAGCAGTCAGTCACTTGTTACCCTCTGTCACGAATTACATTCTTAATTCCTTCAATACGAATTTGATTTATTTTCAAGAAATCTGTTCGTCTGTTTTACAATTCAGGTTCACAGATGGACCATCCGGCAATGTCGTTGAGACAGATATGTCCCGACAGGGTCCCGTACAGTTTTGTATGATGGGACATACCAGGTATGTAAATACGAAACCGGAATTTTTGTATGGAAAATACACGTTTATTGTATGAAAATGATAAAAACATATTTTATTCCAAGTATTGCCCATCGCTAGCTATACATTTTTCCCACCTGTTTGACAATTTGTGGATGCCACGCCAAAAAAACTGTTGCTCTTTTGAGGCAAACCAGTCATCGAGCCATTTTCGTAGATTTTCGTAAGAAGTGAAGCGCTGCTCAGCAAGTGCGTGTCCCATCGATGCAAATAAGTAGTAATCGGACGGAGCCAAGTCTGGTGAGTAAGCCGCTTGCGAAAGTATTTCCCGACTAAACGCCTCAATCGTTTCCTTCACCAGTTTTGCTGTGTGTGATGGTGCATTATCATGAAGCAAAATCACTTTGTGTTGCCTCTTTTGATATTCTGGTCGTTTTTCACGCAAAGCTTGATTCAAATCGATCATTTGTTGTCGGTAGCGTTCAGTATGAACGGTTTCGCCAGGTTTTAGCAGCTCATAATAGATCACACCCTTCTGATCCCACCAAACACAGAGCATTGTCTTCCGTCCATAGCGATTTGGCCTTGCAGTCGATGTCGATGGTTCGCCTGGAACCATCCACCCATGATCTTTTACGCTTAGGATTCTCAAAATATATCCACTTTTCATCGCCAGTCACAATTCGATGGAGAAATGAACTTTCTTTTGTACCTGACGAGCAGCATTTCGCAAGTGGTTTCTCGGTTTTCCTGCTGTCTTTCATTCAGTTCATGTGGAACCCATTTTCCCATCTTCTGGATCTTTCCCATGGCTTTGAAACGTATGGAGACGGCTTCTCGCGTCACATCAAATTGATCCGCGAGTTGTTGTTGCGTTTGAGCGTCATCCTCATCCAACAATGCTTGCAATTCGCTGTCTTCAAACTTTTTCGGTGGTCTTCCACGTTCTTCGTTTCTCACGTCAAAATCGCCACGTTTGAATTTTTTAAACCACTCAAAGCACTGTGATTTGCCAAGAGCATGCTCACCTTCGCGTGCTAAGCTTCGACAAGCATTCGATGCGATTCCGCAGCAGTTTTCTTCAAATGGTAACAGAAAATCAATGCTGTTCGCAAATCGTAGCTTCCAGGCACAAAATTCGACATGTTCCACGCTATTACAAACTATGCCGTTGTATGAAACTTGTATTGTTGTGAGTTGAAAATCTTTGTCAGATGTCAACAAGTGGAAATGGCGCCAATGACGCGGTTATGACGGTAACTATATTGACAGCTAGAGCCATCTATGGGCAAATTCCGGTTTCATATTTACAGACCTGGTATATATCTTGTTAATAATGAAAGGGTTAAACTCGTCTTGCCATGGGTGAGATTTCACCCCAGGCGAATTTTGTTTCGTTCTCATTAAATGTTAAATTATCCGCTGCGAACAATAACTTCTCTATTTTTCATTTAATATTCATCCATAAAAAACATTTAATTGTATGTTTGACTTTTTTAATTTCCCAAATAAAAAATGTACACCGGGGTGAAATTTCACCCATGACATCATTAACGTGATCTTCTTTCGATGGCAGCTTTTAAGGATTAAGCAAGCAGATGGCATATAGAAAACTTGAAGTAGTAAGCAAGTCGACCAATCGTAGGTGAACTGTAAACGCGTTTTGTTACGTTTTCTCAACTATGATTGCTTGATTTGCTTACTGCTTACGTCTTATCGCTTACCGTTGCTCCACGTGCCACGGCCCTTATTGTTCTTCCGGCTGTTCTCGGTGGTTGGAGAAACGAAGGGAATACGAGATCCCCCCTCCCCTTTCGCTACAGCAGCCCTTAATTGGACCCCGGCTAGGCGACGAGCTAGGAAAGAGCGGAGGGATCCTCGGCCGCGGGGAAATTGACTTTAAGCGACCATACCTCATACACACAGAGAGAGAGAGAGAGAGAGAGAGAGAGAGAGAGAGAGAGAGAGAGAGAGAGAGAGAGACCCTAAGGTGTCCCGCTGCACTATTTCCGTCCCGCTTTGGGTGCTGTCGTAAAAAGACGCGCGTGCAAGCGTATTAATAGACTGACCGAGCACACGCATCTGTGGTGACGGTGTAAAGTCGCGCGTACCATCGAAATTAAGCCAAAACCGCCGCGCGAATTCGCTCCCGGCACGAACGAGCGGCGGGCAGCGCGGGAGAGGAGAGGAGACGGCGGTGTAACACGTGTTGCTGCTGTGCGGCCGCGTGTCAAAAGGAAACGCCGCCGGGGCAAATTCGCGCTCTCGACTCGCGAGCGAACTCCGGCGGAGGGCGAGACGCGTTTTCGGGGCACCTCGTCGACCGACGAGAGTAGCCCGGAAGGGCTAAAGGCCGGATAAAAGCCATTAGCGCAGCCTTTCGCGAGTGCAGCGTGCGCGAATTGATGTCTCCGCGACGGAGTATTAACGATGTCCTGTTTTGTTTTTCTGTTGCAGAATCACGAGTACGGCGCGTATGGGGACGAGCCACGTCGTAAACGGTGAGTTGCAGTTATGCAGTCGTTGGCTGTGCGAGCGAAATGTCGACACACACACACACACACACACACACACACACATATTCGATAATTGCGCGAGAAGAGGCCAAGGCGATAGATATCGCTCGACAGACGGATAGATCGACGTCGTTATATTCGTCTTGGGGAGAAGAACGTTAATCGTACAGAGACCGTACAACCGACAAGAGTTTAAACGAAGAAGAAATAGGGAAGAGGGTGTGAGAGAGGGCGGTAGGAAGATGAGAACGGGAGATGGGGAGGACTTTTTCCGCTCGCGAGTGGAGCTTGATACAATGAGACTGCGGAATTATCATTATAGAATAATCTCCTTTAGCCGAGATATTGTTCCGGGGAGAACCGGGTGCGCGCGCGCGCGAGAATACTTTTCTCCCAATAGCGTACGCACGATTCTGCTCCTTCGCGTGACTGTCGGAATAAAAATAGCCCGCTGCTGGCCGTTAGCGATGACCGCGCGTTCTTATCTTATCGCGGAAAGTTTATCGGTATTATGCAGAGGATTTTCGAGCTTAATATCTGGCCGATGGCGGCGCGTCGTGCTTTCTCGCTTGACGTGCCCCGTGTCGCGATTCTCTGTTATTAACATCCGCAACTCGTCCGGCGCCAATCGCGGCGATTGTCTCACCGCGAAGAGAGAGAGAGAGAGAGAGAGAGAGAGAGAGAGAGAGAGAAAGAGAAAGAGAGATCGCCACTTAGCGTATAAGCGTTCATCGCAGTCAATCGCGTGCAACTCGCCCGCTGCGTCGCTCCCGATAAAGCGCGCTCGCGATGTAATTTCTTTCCTTTTTTTCTCATCAATAATGGTTCTCTCTGTAGAAGCCGGACCGCTCGCGCGCTACATATCTGTCTAATTGATTTCGAGATGCGAGGACAAGCCGGCGGCCGTTCTTGCGGGAATACTTTCTCATTCGTGCCGGCTGCGCGATTGCAGCATCGACGCGCTATTAAGGGGACGCTCGAGCGTGGAATTGGATGCTCGATAAGCGATAAGCGCCAAGACGCGGCCTATACATCGCGACGTCGAAAATTAATTAAAACGACCGGTCTCGTCGAAGTTTGATCCTGCGCCGCGCCGCGTTCTCTCTCCTACGCTTCGACTTTAATAATAAGAAGTTAACTCGAGCATTGAGCGTGATTCAATCCGGCGGGCAATCCGATAGCGAATGATATCCGCTGCGCAAAGTCGCGTCCGTCGGCAAAGCGAATCCGAAGCCGGCGGGCGGTCGCGAAATCGACGTCGCAGATATCAATGTCGAATAATCAGTAATAGACGCAAGAGAACAATGGCAGTTTAAACTCGTGTAATGGTTCTTTTTTTCTTGTTACCACCGATCGTTCGAGGTGAACATTTGTGAGCGAGACGATTTGTGATGAAAATAGAAAAACCTTCTGCATATTTTACACGTTAAGTAACGCTTGTATTTCTTAAACGCCTTAAAAGTGTTGGCGATAACAGAATAGCGTATGAAGCCCCCCGATAAACTCGTCACTTTGTAGAAATAGCAAACGGAGAGTTATCAATTTTATACATTAGTTATCATTGGCTCCTCATTCTGCTCGAGATTGGAATATCAGACTCGAATGATTAGATTCGTTAATGCGATAATCAGATTCAAAGGAAAACACATGCCTCGCCTCCCGACTAGAAATTTATCCTATGATCCTGATTAGGTTAACCTCATTTGGACATCAGGTGACAATAAGATAATACTATCGGGTCCTAGTAAGTCATGTAACGCAGCGTGGATATCAGGACCTTATTAAGGATTCATAGTCAGATCCTTATTGAGTTACCTCATGGAATCCTTATTACGTTTTTTTTTTTTTTTTTTTTTTTTTTTCAAATTATGGCTCCTGATTACTCGCCACTGCTATATTGGATGATGACATTAGAAATAAGAAATGACACGCTGAAAATTCTTTCATGTCATTTCCAAATAAAAAGATATCTGTATGAAATAATATTTTAGATCGCATGAGCATACTTGTAAAATGTTTCGGAAAAGAAACATAAAATGAATATCATAAGATCATAAAGTATCGCAAGGTGACAAGACATAAAGTAGTGTTAAAGAGAAAAGTTGCATGTCACGTTAATTTTACAACTATTTATTGACTGCTAAGAAAAGGACAGTTTCTATAGCATTTTACAAATATGTTCAAGTGATCTGAAGTGTTTTTTCAATGCAAACATCTTTATATTTGGAATTGACACCCAAAAGTTGTTTCGTTAAAACTTGATAATGCAAATCATATTAGGTACAATGAATAAGATCCCGACAAGGACCTGATCAACTGAACCATATTATATCATACACTAGGTTGGTACATTAAGGTCCTAATGTGGACCCAATCATTATAACCTTATAAAGGTCTTCCTTACTCATTTGTCGTTAGGACATTATAAGGACTGACTTACTTAGGATTACCTTTCATTCACCCTATTAGGTCCTTATCAATGTCAAGTGAACCTGATCAAAATTTCTAGTCGGGCTCGGCTTGCGAGTTTTCCTCGTGAGTAAACCCGCGCGCGTGCACGTATTTTTACGGCATCCCGTATCTACGGCGAATCGCATCATCATCCGGAAAGTCAATACAAATAAGCTCGGTTGATGATCGCGAGCGCGCGAGGTAATTGAATTTGCATCGACCCGCGCGCGCGCGCGATTAGGTATGGCTGTGTGCCACTCAGCCGTAGACCATCATCGGCCACCCGGGCGACACGCACTTGCACCCCGCGAGAGGAAAAATTGCGCGGCGATTGATTTTTATGCTGGATGCGAGTCACGAAGGAAAGATGTATACACCGATATCAAGCGTGAAAAATGTATCGCGTCGTCGTTCATCATCAGTGCCGGCTGTTGCCGGCCGCCGCGGCCGTCCCGCTGTATAACACGTGAGCACGTCAAATCTCGCGTGAAGATTACTTCGTTTCGCTTTTCCCTAGTTTCCCCCGAGCCGGGGAGATGAGGTGGGCCGGGGAGATGATGCGAGATACCCTACTTTTGACGTAATAACTCTCCGCGATGCACGTGTAATCCACGTTGCTCGTACTCCGTATATAAACACAGTTTACACAGAGTACATCTTCATATTCGCTCGCGTATACTCGAAGTGTATATACTCCTCTCTCTCTCTCTCTCCCTCCCCCTCTCTCTCTCTCTCTCCCTCTTCCTCTCTCTCTCTCTCTCTCTCTCTCTCTCTCTCTCTCTCTCCTCCCCTCTTCCCTTCTCTATCTCTTTTTTTCTTTGTATACAACATGCGCTTTAAATGAAAAGATAGCACGGGGGGGGGGGGATTTTAGTGTTCGTCCATCTCTCGCGCAGATGCGGCTTCTCACGACGCGCTACTTACGGAGCTCTTCGATCCTTTCGCGAAAGTCGCCCGCGGCAATGCGCGAAATGATTTGGCTCGCTAATACATCGAGAGAGGGGGATGTCGCAACAATACGCAACGTCGAGAATGTATGCGCGAGACGAGCGCTTGACGCTGCGCGAGCACAATGTCCGGCTGATATATAGGCGATGTTTATTAATGGAACTTGCGCGCGCGAGTGCAGTTTAAGTGAGGGAGGGACTGCTTTTTTTTTGCAATCTCTGCCCGGGGAAACGAAAGCAGAGATAATATTTCTAGTTGCACACCGGGACGCCGGGACGGAAGGTAGGGGTGCGCGCAATCAATGCAATTTTACGCGGCGTCAGCAAACACTCACAGTGCGCGCGCGCGCGCCCGGCCGAATCGACGAAGAATTATTATTCACAGTATTCAGTTCCCGCCAACTCGGCGATAATCGAGCCTCCAGCTATCCTGCTATCAGGCTCTCGTAATTGAAGTTTTAAATAATTGGAGCTCGTCCCGCCGAAGGGACCGGCAGCGATCCAAAGAAAGTCTCGATTTTATCGGCCACGCGCGTGCGCGCGATATCTCACAGCTTTAATGAAGCTGTTCCAATTGTAACACGCACTAATTATTGTTTCAGAGAAGACAATAACAAGCCGAACCACGTACTACTCTTCACAATTATCAATCCAGTATACCCCATCACTGTGGTGAGTCTTTTTTACACTATCTCTCCGTTTGGCGGATCCGTTTCTCCCCCCGTTCGAATCGTGTCGCGCCCCGACACGTTCGTCGAGGAAGAAAACGTCTATCGGACAATCGAAACACCGAAAACGGAAATTGAGTTTAAGAGACGGCAGAGGAAGAGACAGTAGCGCACACGTGCGCGCATGCTTTCCCTTTGTTCTCATCACATTTGTGCAAACACCGCGGGGAGAGCGGATGACGAGGGGAGGGTGGTGGCGGCGAAGTGGAGCGATCGGGGCGGGAAAAGTAGCGCAATTCCGTAGCGCGAACTATAACGGGAATTGAAAATATTGAAGCCAAAGCCACGGAGAACAAAAGTTGGCAGCACGTCAGCCTCGTAGATTTCACAGGCCGTCGCACTGCATTTTATTTCTGTTTTGCGCCAATAATAGATGAGCTTTGAGCTCTCCCGTCGTTTCTCTCCCTCTCTCTCTCCCTCTCACTCACTCACTCACTCACTCACTCACTCACTCACTCGCTCACTCACTCACTCACTCACTCGTTCGCTCGTTCGCTCGCTCCTCTCTTCTCCCGGCGGCTGGCCGTCCGATCGGTCGGTTGGCCGGTCAGGTCGATGTCATTCGACATTGTTTGCACTGCTTCTGTTCGCGAGTGCTCGCATAGCTATCCGGTCACACCGAAGCAGCACGTTTTCTTGCGTCTCGCCGCGATCGCGCCGCTAATTAAAGAGCTTCCGAGCCGAGCGCGGGCTTCACGCTCGCGCGACGCGGCCGAAGGTGCTAACGATACCTCGCTGTCGTCGAAATGCACCGGCTTTTGGAACTTCTTTCGTTCGCCCGAGATACCCGCGACGGCAGAATCAGGGTGGTAATTGGGTTCATGTCGTCGGAGGATAGTCGAGTACGAACAATCTCGCGAGTGGACGCTCGTACGATCGAACAATCTTCCAAGCGTACGTTGACACGCATCGTTGCACACGAGCTGCCTTTTTAAGGGCACTTTTTAAGGGAGAGTCAGATTGCTGAAAAATCGTGCTTGTTTTTGGTAATGATTTTGTGACGAACTGAATAAATGTGCAAGAATGAAAATTTTAGATATATTTATGCAACATATGAAGAGTAGAAAAATTTTGTTTATTAACAAATACTCGTATAAATATACGATATATATAGCTGAAATATACTCTCCTTTTTTTTCTTCAAGTTATCGTTTTTGCAGTGATATCTCGGCTGTCGGTGGTCCGATCAGAATTTTAGCTAGAAATCTTGAGGAGGCTTATCATTATCGGGTGAACCACTAGAAAAAAAAATCGAACAAAATGAACAAAATCATTAGCTATTATTAGGAAAAAATTCAAATTTTTCAGTTCTTTTACAATCAAAAAATTAATATCTCGAAATGAAATATTTTGACAGAGTTGTCCATGGCTCACCTGAGAGCCGCATGATCACATATTATTGCTTTAAAATATCAAATCGATACGAAGCTCAGTTTTGGAGAAATCACTGCGAAAAGTTGAACGGTAAAATTTCGAGAAAAACGTGTTTAAAATTTAAATAGACGTATACTTATATATGAGTATTTGTTTAAAAACAAAATTGTTCTACTCTTCATATGTTGTATAAATATATGTAAAATTTTCATTCTTGCACATTTATTCAGTTTGTCACAAAATCATTACCAAAAACAAGCACGATTTTTCAGTAATCTGACCCTCCAGTCCCCTTAATAATCGGGGAAATTTAACAGCGAGGGAAACACACATATTTTATGGCGGCACAGAAAGGGTATCGCCGTTGATACGGACGGACGATTGCGGAAAATACTGTGCAATTGCGCCGGCTTCACAAACGGCGATATTTTATCCCGTGTTCTATAAATAAATATATATAAATTTTATAAATATATATTATAAATAATGTATGTGACGTCATGCCGTGCCCGCGCGAGACTCTGGCTGTCATTGCTCGCGCAAATTGCGGCGTCGGTCTCGTTACCGTGCGGCAAAAACCAGGTAGAATTCTACCATGTACACAAGCACACCCGTTAATTTCGACCGTATCTGAAACGCGACTTCATATTCCATTAAGGGCTCATCTTCTCAATTTAATTAAAAGCTCATCTAGCTAGAGCTTCTCTTCGGAGGTTTAAGCTCTCTCGGGCACGCTCTTAGCTTTTTCTGTCTTTGTTTTCGCTTCCTTCTCTTACCTCTCCACCTTCTCTTCCTCCACCTCCTCCTTCTCTCCCGGTGACGTAATTATATACCTAAGGATTTGCAATTCCATCGGCTTGATACCCGCAGAACTAACATGTCCCCCTCATCTCTGTTGCTCGGCTGGGGTTAAATCAATCGCGACTATAATTGAGCCACTCGCAAAATCAACCCGCTCTGTGTGATCCGCGTTTATTCATCGTGATAATTCAATCCGCTTTCGCCGCGCGCGTCTTGCATATTATCCTCTTTCTTTTCTCTTCCTTTTATCCTCCCGCCGCGCCGCCCGCGCCGCCCCCTCTCCACCGCGCCAAGGTCTGTATATTTAATCGGCGAACGCGTCGATCGATATTTCATTTTATTCGAAAACATACCGTCGATTCGATTTCCGGCCTTTCATCCGCCGGGCAAACATTTATTCAGCGTGGACGTTCCACGACGGAGGTGCGTAACTCGCCGGTGAGATCCGTTGACGCTGCTTTTTTGTACGCGCCATTTCGGAGGAAAGGGGCCGGTAAATTTACGAAATCTCCATTTCGCGACGCGAAATGGAAATCAATAAGGCGGGAGGCGATCGCGGCCGCATATGGAAGCGGCGTGTGTATTATCTATCGGTGGTAACGGTTGACGCTCGCACAGCTGATGGAGGTGCGTAGTCGATGTAAATCTAGTTAACACGGCAGAGCTGGCAATGTTTCCCCCGACGCGTGGTCGGCGTTACAAGCGAGTTCGCTTTTACGAGGTGCGGAGCAAATTGAACTTAATATCAAGTTTATTGGAGAACTTCCCGGATAGAGCGCGCGCCCGATCCGCGACGTATATACGAGATCGCCAAACGAGATGTATATTTACCTCATCGCGACGTTTATTAATGCGCTATATCATCGAACAGCATCGCTCCGTTGACTCATGCGACACGGTAGTGACCAGGCGAGTCGAGATTCCGGTGGCGCATCGACGGGTGGGTGGATCATGCGAATTGCGTCGAGCTGCGAGAAAGCGCGGCGACGGTAAAAAACATCCTTTGAGTAATTCGCACATAAAGACGATGAATCAATCTTTCTTTCCTCTGGCTCGCGCGAGTCGCGCTCGTCGTCTCTCTCTCGCGACGTTTCTGTCGCGAAATGTCGCGTGGCATCAACGCGAAAGCGAGATAACAGTGTGTGATACGTCTAAAGACCGTATCACACACTGGCGACTCGCGACTGCGGCTGCGGCTGCGATTACGATTGCGATTGCGATTCTTCCTCGAGCAATCAGAAAGCAGCGACTCACGGCTGTCGTTTGGACGGCTTTCTTCTGATTGGTTGAGGAAGATTCGCAATTGCAATCGCAGCCGCAGTCGCGACTCGCTAGTGTGATACGGTCTTAACGACGGCTGGCGAAATCGCATCGTCGACCTGACGTCGGCTGAAACGTCTCAGATAAGACACCGGCTCGATCTATCTATCTCTCTCGCGCCTCGAGAGATCGTCCGCTAATTATTTACGCAGCTTTACAAGCGTTACTCGATTATGCTGCGGCCTCGTTAATTATTCCTAACGAAGGCTCGTTTGCAGATGAGGCTCGTAATTGTAACTGCAATCTCGCCTGCCTGCCCCCCCCCCTCTCACCTCTCTCTTTCTCTTTCCCTCTCTCTCGCGCGCGCGGGGCCCGACACCACCCGCGATCGTAAGACGAGAACTCCGCCGCCGTCGCAGCTTGCATCAATCACGGAGACGCGATGTTAATTCGGGTTATTGCGATACCAGATACAATATTGCGTCGCTACGCCACGCGGTTGCCAATATTTCGCGCTCCGGGCGACGGTGGCGGCGCGAGAAAATGCACCTCGTGCGCCTAGTTTATCACGACGCACGTGTGCGCGTCGCGAGCAGACGAACGTCGAGGCCGGCTTGCGAGTCGCGTTGCAACGCAGCCGCGACGAATATCAGTCACCGGCGGATTCTTGCGTGCAACTTGCTCGTGTGAATTTTGCTCGTTCATCTGGCTGTGTGTACGACGGCATCGAATGTCCTTTGGAAGTGACTTCCGGTCGCTCGATAAGTTTGTGGAGATTTTCGTGAACAACTCTCGAAGCCAACCCCGCCACGGTTAGGTGCAACTTTGTTTTTTCTTCTCTCTCTCTCTCTCTCTCTCTCTCTCTCTCGCTCCCTCCCTCTCTCCCTCTCTCTCTCTCGCTCCCTCTCTCTCTCCCTCCCTCTCTCCCTCCCTCCCTACCTCTCTCCCTCTCTCTCTCTATCTATCTCTCTCTCTCTCTCTCTCTCTCTCTCGATGATGATGATGATGATGATGATGATGATGATGAATCGTCGAAGAAGAAGATCGGTGTATTATCGAATAAAGTTACGCCGGATTATGAAAGTGTCACAGGCGCCTGGAAACAGGCGCTCTTCGCAAAAATCGAACAAACCGACGCGCGTTTTTTACTCGCGTTCGATCGTTGCGACATTCCCGAGGAAAATTCTCAGCGGTGGAAAGTAGCGAATTCCGAGTTTCCTCTCGAAATTACCGGTACACGTAAATTCGCTTTCCCGTCGAGCTGAGACTTTCCGACTGCGCGCTACGGGTGCATCGCGTTTTCATCCGTCGAAATTTTCTTGTCTTCTTTGCTTTTAATCCGACGAGGTAGGGCGAACGCGAATTCGCGCGGTAGGGCGGCTTATCTCAGGATGCTATTCGTGTAACACTAGATGCTAGAAGAGTCTTTTTTATCGCGCTCCTTTCTCTCTCTCTCTCTCTCTCTCTCTCAAGGCTGGCCGATAAAAAGCAGCACGCAGGGAGGGACGT